CTGCCGCCCTCGATGCGCCGTCTCCTTGCTACTGCGGTTTTTCCCTATTCCTTCCAGGTTGTTGTCGCCCTCCATACACTGTTCCCTTGCCGTCCCACCGTCCCCATTCCAGTTTCTGCTTGTGCTGCCGCCCTCGATGCGCCGTCTCCTTGCTACTGCCGTTTTTCCCTATTCCTTCCAGGTTGCTGTCGCCCTCCATACACTGCTCCTTTGCCGTTCCACCGTCCCCATTCCAGTTTCTGCTTGTTGCCACATACTTCACATCCTCCTGTATGCTTGACATCCTTCTGTTTGCGGTCCAACTACCAAACCACCTTCTCCACGCTGTCGTAAACCTCTCTACCGCCTAACGCTTTCTATTTCCACTACGTCGACACACAGCCCACCACTTTGGTTCCTTACCCTAAAGTGTCTTTTGTTTTTGTGCCAATTTTTTTCTCTTTTTTAAGAGGCTTTGTTTGTAATCCCTTTAAATTTCAGCAACAATATTTTTATTTCATTGTGGTTTTGGGTCAACTTCGGTATTTTTTTGTGGATGGAGTGTTATGCTTTTTCTTTATAATCATGTATTGCTTTTCTGTTGGATATTGTTTTACGCACGCCTGCTGCCCAACGGGATTTGAATGGCATTCTGCTATTTCCTATTTGGAAATACTGATTTGTAATGCTTGGGAAATCATTTACAATATTTACTGGTCGCATTTTAATTTTCTAAAGTGAGATGCAATTTATCAGATGAGTGGAAGAACTTTCTTTCTCGGATAGGAAGAGATGAAAATGCGGCAGACTTGGAGTTGTTTGACAACCCGGATGATATTCTTGAGCTGCGGTTTTGGGCTTCTTATCGAGGTCAAACTTTAGCACGTACAGGTATGTTATTTAGAACCTTGTAGCTTTCTTTCCCTTTTTCCTCTTTTTTTACTTGTTTTGAATCATTTTTGATTATCTGACATATGAATGTCCATTTTGTTATTTTTCCTTTTCAAATTGACATTAATTTTTCCCTACTTATCAAAATGTTTACTTAAGTTGATGTTAATTTGTATGTTTCACTTGAGTAAAGAATTATGTGCTGAACTAATTTGCAATTTGATAGGCATGGACTATAGTTTATATATCTATTAAATAAAATTATATTAACTAGAAACACATTTCTTAACTCAGGCTTATTTGGCATTTGGAAATTTATGGATCTGAGTATTCAAGGATAAAAGAAGCCACTAATAGTCAAGTTAAATTTGATAATAATGACAATGGTGATATGGATGACAGCTAGATCTGAGAATGAAAGGTTTGTTATGATTAAGTGAGAGTTATTGTGGGAGTTAAATGAAGGGTTAAAGCTACACCAATAAGGCAGTAAATTTAATGTTGCAGGATTATGAATTCAAATTGGGAGGATTAAGGGTAATTCAAATAGAAGTTGTGCAAAGAGATTTACGCAAAATAAATTTAACACCTCAAACAAAACTCAATAAGAATGAAGAAATGGGTTTCCCTAAAACCAACCTCAAACTGTTGGAGAAGGCTAATGATGATGATGAGAAATTACATTTTATTTATTAAGTTTTGTTTGGGATGTATTAATGTTTGAAAAACATTTTAAGAAGCATTTTATAATATAGAATTTAGTTTTTGGATGTTAAACTCTTTGTTAATTGAACTTCACATATTAATGCTGCATTTCTATGAAAGTTCAACAAGCTTATCCGAGTTCTTACTTTTCTCGAAATCAAATTGTGGTTTTCTTATTTTAACTGCTATTAATGTGTATTTAAACTTTCTATAGGAAGCTGTTGCTTGCGTTGCTAGGTTCTTATTTACATTAAAATAATCTGTTGATGAGCTAATGCTACGGTCAAATTTAATAATTTTTACTAGAGATTATGACTAGCTGACGTTTACAGATTGCTTTGTCTGATGGTTTTTATTTTCCTTTTTTGCTATGTAGAATATGAGTGAACATTTTAAAAATTATAGGAGTCTGGTGTCATCATTTATACAGTGCCATTTTTTTGTTGCGTTTTCATTTATCTAATTTAAACTGTAGAGATTTTAAGCATAACACGATATTTCTTTTTGACCTATTGTAGTTCGAGGTATGATGTATTATAGAAAAGCTCTTATGCTTCAAAGCTATTTGGAGAGGCTTGGCTCAGAAGGTATGTTATTAGGTTTTTTTGCAATGACATAGTAATAGTCGACTGATTAATATATTTGGAATTGCAGGCTCCGACGTTATACTTAATAGCGGTGTTTTAAGTGAAACTCAGGGTTTTGATTTATCTCCTGAAGCTCGCGCACAGGCCGATATAAAGTTCACATATGTTGTGACATGTCAAATATATGGCAAACAGAGGGAAGAACGAAAGCCTGAGGCAGCAGATATTGCACTATTGATGCAACGGTTGTGCCATCAACATTTCTTATGTTTCGAAGATGACAAATTTACTTGCAATTTTCCTTTTTTCTTGTGTTGCATCCTTTTAACCGCTGCCAGTTAATGCTACCTGTTTGTCAGGAATGAAGCACTTAGAGTTGCATACATTGATGTTGTTGATACTTTAAAAGATGGTAAACCGCACACAGACTATTTTTCAAAACTTGTCAAAACTGATATCCATGGGAAGGACAAGGTAAACATTTTGGTAACATCATGTTATGCATGGTTTTTGTATTTAACTATCATGTTGATTTTCAGGACTCAGTGGAATTGTTTATTGATATGGAAATGGGCTATAAATACCCTTAAATAAATCAAGAAAAAGGAAATATAAAACACCTATGTCTCCAGCTAATCAATTCATAATAATTACTTGGGAATAAAGGAAACAACATAAAAATAGGAATGCCTCAAATAGGAAAAGAAATAAATCCAATCCATGAAGTTAAATCTAAAATAAAGTTATATTAGGAAATAAATCTAATTCTCATAACTTCTAATGGAAATAAATTATTTTTTAATATAAATTCTAACACTTCCAATATGAAAGGAAATAAATTCAATCCCAATGAAATATTTTTAATTCTCATTTCTAACAAGAATAAATTATTTTTTAATATAAATTCTAACACTTCAATTCAATTTGAAATATGGTTGACAACTATGTTCATCATGGATTTGAAAATATTAAATAAAAGGCGAGAAAGATTTTTGGTGAAGCAAAACTTGAAGTCTTCATCTCGTACTTGGTAATCAAACCCAAGAGTATTTAGGGACGTTCTTTGTTGACTGCGATTATTTTTTACTGTAGTGCTTGCAATGTCTGTAGATAGACGGAAGACTCCTACGGGTGATGGAGTAGGGAAGTTAGCTGGGAAGTAAACTACCTGTAGGAAAATAAGACTTATAGTCAGTTGAGGTTGTCTTTGACTACAGTTTCTGTAGTGTCAGTAGGTAGACAAAAGACTCTTACAGGTAATGTTGCAGGGAAGTTGTTAACAAACAGAAAAAGATGAAGGGTATGACCTGCGGGAAAAAAAAAAGAAAAAGTTCCAAAGGGGAGTCTGTTGTAGAAAAGATTCTGTAAAAGGGCTTGATGCAGGGAAAAAGTTCGAAGGAGGGTGTGCTGCAGGAGAAAGTTCCGGAGAAGAGCTTGCTGCAGGAGAAAGATCCGGAGGAGGGTTTGTTGCATAAAAAGCACTGGAGGGTCTACTGCATGAAAAAAACTTCGGAGGATTTGTATGTCGGCAATTGGGATTCTATGTCGAAGAAGATTAAGATTTTCACAAAGATCGATATTGGGAGATTAAACAAATATTGGACAAAATGACGTCAATTGCGGAGCATGTCGAACCAGATTAGGACGCAGAAAAGAATCCATAAGAGCGCCAGCGTGGCCTCGAGCAGCATGGCTAGAGAATCGGGCAAATCACAAATGTCCTCCATGGGAAGCTCCGTACTGTGGACGGTGAAAGAGGAGCTGACGCCTGAGCTGGTGATCTAGTTGTTGCTGCTATCGTCGAAGAGCAAAGAGCATCTCTCGTTAAGTTGTCATCCATATCTCAGCTTGCATGCACAATAACTTCTGTTGTACCCCAAAGCGTTTAATGAGCACGACATCCATCGCCTAAAACTTATTGTGATCTCTGCAGGGGATCCTACAACAGTGGAAAGGGCTGCAACCGTTAGGGAGAGAGCCAGATGCCAGTTCTGCTGCTGGATAGGAGTACCCCAAAGCGTTTAATGAGCACGACATCCATCGCCCAAAACTTATTGTGATCTCTGCAGGGGTTCCTACAACAGTGGAAAGGGCTGCAACCTTTAGGGAGAGAGCCTGATGCCAGTTCTGCTGCTGGATAGGAGGGTTCCAACTAAGAAGTCTGCAGGGAGAATCTAATGGAAAGGGATTTGCCAGCGAGTTAGCTGTAGTTGGATTGAAGAGTTCCAGTGAAGAACTTGCATACAAGTATAATCATGCAGGGAGTTTTCTCTGCAACTGATGCTTCTTACAGAGCTCCTTCACTAAAGGAGCAATTATCCTAAGATGGCATCTTGGAAGCCGAGGATACAAATGGTGTTCTGTATGGAATTGCAGTTTTCCATGAAAACATTCCATCCATGGTAAACATGTGATGTTAAGTGTCTCCATCGTTTGCCTCTCGAACCTTTTATTGCCCTTTGGATTTCCGATGTTGAAAGTGGAGGAGAAATGGTTTAGATAGAACCGGACATGTTGAATCCCACTTACAACGAAGCTGGAGATCACAAAAATTAGTCTTTCTCCAAAGCTTGGAGATCACAAAAATTAGTCTTTCTCC